AAATGTTTGCTTGAAGAGTTTCAGAGTCAGGACTTTTCAGCAGGAAAAGGATGATTCACTCATACGTTTTAGGACAGCCTGGGCAGGAGTGACTTACTGGACACGGAGTCCTGGCGCCAGAGGACTGAGCCAGCTTTGGGGGAAGTGAGGATGAGACAAAGTCTTGGCAAACGGGGAACAAACCAAATTCTCCTCTGTGGATAGTCTCAATCATCCAGATCATGGTTGTCCCAAGGATGCTTTTTCCAAAAGGCAGCTGGTCTTCCTTGTTTGTTTTTTTTCTCTGAAAACATTTCGCTTCTCACCCAAGAAGCTTCTTCGGTTCTTCAGAATGGAAGAAGCTTCTTGGATGAGGAGCGAAATGTTTTCAATGCAAAAACAACAACAAGAAAGCCCCATTGCCTTTTGGGAAAGCATCTTTGGGACAACCGAATTCTCAGTGTCCTCATTCTGTAATCAGAGTTGGGCCCACAGCCTGGCCCTGTCTAGATGACTTTGGCCACAGGTTGAGAAAACAAGTGTGGAAGTGGATGCTTTGAAGGACAGTGGGCTGTGCCTTCCAAGGACCTTGCACAAACCCCGAAGCGGTTGGGAGCCTCTTGCGTATTGAAGGACACTGCTTGGGGGAGCTTGCTCAAGAATATTTAATAAATTTAATAAATAATAAAATAAATAATAATAAGGAGCTAGTGTGGTCTGGAGGTCTGTCTGTCTTGGACCCAAAGCTCTGAGCAGGACACTGTAGAAAACACTTTGACCATTTGTTCATCGAGGCTCATAAGGTGGACTTGCTCTTCTGGGCTTCAGAAGGACAGCCTAATAGTGCCTTTCTTGAGGAAGGAAAGGAGGAACATAGAACATAGAATCACAGGGTTGAAAGGGACCTTGAAGGTCTTCTAGTCCAACCCCCTCCTTAAGCAGGAAGCCATGCACAGCATGGACTTGATGATGGAGCTTTCATCCCTCCCTTCTCTGTTGTTCTTTCCTTTCTCAGCCCAAGTAAGATTCCTGTCTGAGTTGGATTTCTACTTAGGAAACCCCCAGACTTGAATTCTGTCTGGATCATCTCTCATTTTTATAGGTATCTGCCTATCTCTGGGCCACAAGGCCAGTCTGGTCACCTCCTGAACTGCCCACCTTCCTGTTGGTTTCTTGCCTTCTTGCTTTTATGTTTCCATCCTATTTTGCTCTAAGTTCTGGGTTTCAGTCCTGATCCATAACTGCACCGACTTCGGGCATTCTCTTCCAGCTTCTCTTTGTAATCCAGGATTGTCCAGTAAATCACTTTACGTCTGGTCGCAGTCTCGGTTGTATGGGTATTTGCATCTTCTGTGCTTCAGCGGTCAAGTTAACCAACATCCAAAAAGAAGGAGGACCAAAAGAAAAAAAGATTTTTTTTGTGGGTGGCATTTGAGCTGGAAAGGGTGCTCCAGAATCCCTTGCAAGGTCACGGAGGATATTGAGGTATTATATTGAGGTATCAGTTGTAAAAGATCTTTCCTCTGAATTGCTTCTTTTGAACATGTGAAAGAGTGATTTGGAAGCGTGCTCATCACAAGGTTCTTGTAAAAGGAGGGAACCCAAAGAGGTAGAAATCCAGAACTGATTTTTATTTATTGCCTTGATGATTCCCGAAGACCCAGTACTTTAAGGACGGTTTAAATGATTTTTCTTTAACCAACTTCATTGACTCTAGTGACACCTAGTGGCCATGGAGAGCATTTCTCCCTTTTTTCCCATCCTTTAGTTTAATAGGAATTATATTGCCTTTTCATGTAATAGTTTTGACAATACGAGATTGCTGTTGTTGAAGTATTTTGTGTATAGGAAGGGTCATTTTTATGTTGCCTTGTCATTTTTTTAAGGCTGTGATGCTATTTTACCTTGATCTGAATGTTTCTATATGGGTAGATCTGCATATTATGTCCCATGTGGCAGTGGCTGATCTCTGGGTCACTCCTGTATGGAGAGAGGAAGTTGTAATCCTACACGTGTTTGCAAAACTTAAGGATTGCCCACTTTTTGTATGTATGTGTACAATTAAACAGATTTCCTTAGCATTTTTCTCTTTTTTGCAGTAACTTTAGTACATTGGCTGCTGATATTAATTATTATCCTAGGTTTTTTGGTCACATACTGGTTTTCAAACTACCAGGGCTTCTGATTCAGCTAGGAAGGCCTGTTACCAAATGCGCAAGAGTGCGAATGCAGCCCTTATTTCGGTCTCATTAAAACAGCCGAGTCCTTTTCCTGTCACCATCCAATTGCTACATTGGCAAAGTCTAGTCGAGCTAATATAGAAAATAAAAACTCAGTTCTAGAGAACCATCTTTCAGAGCAATGTATCTCGACCTTGGCAGCTTGAAGATGTGTGGACTTCAACTCCCAGAATTTGGGAACTATGCTGGCTGGGGAATTCTGGGAGTTGAAGTGCACACATCTTCAAGCTGCCAAGTTTGAGAAGCATTGCTTTAGAGCAGGGGTGTCAAACTGCAGGCCCCCGGGCCGGATGCGTCACGAGGAAACCGCGCCCACCCCATTGCCGGCAATGGGGAAAAAGCTCCGATACGTTGCATGACGTCACGTCATGTCGCAAGTTTGACATGTCTGCTCTAGAGAATATATTTAGCCCAGATAGTGCTTGGCCTTTTAAAGGAATATTTCATCCTACCCTATCCATACATTCATTCTAACAACTTGTCAAAGCCCGAACATTGTTACAAGCTTCGGATGATTTAGGTGAATCATATCTAATAATCACGAATTTCTTTAGGGCGCCTCGAAAATTATTTAGGTAATGGAGCTGAAAATGCTCTGCTATTAGGATGTTAGGTAGTCAAACAGGCCATGTTTAATTCAGTTGCTTGCTTCCTCTGCGTTAGAAGGGGAATTCTTATTTGTGCTTCTAAATATGTATGAGTGTCGGGGACTGTATAGCGGCATATTTAATCAGTCGACTGAGAAGAAGCAAAAATGGGCTTTTCTAGGAAAAATTGCTGTCATTTTTGATAAGTGTAGCTTTCTGCTTTACAAAGGGAAGAAGCTTACAAGAGAAACTTGTTTGAAACTTGAAAAAGGTTTACGAATATAATCCTTCGCAATTTTTCTTAAAAAAATATTTCTTCTGTTCCTACTTTCTCGACTTCTCTTTTATTTTGTGACTAAGTGAATGCATTTCAGGAAACAGGCACAGATAGTTGGGTTGTTTCTCGTTCCAAGACAATTCTCTGCATTTTCGGCTACAATGCATCATAACATCTGGAACATCTGCCCGTTGGCTCAGTTGCTCTGCTCGGCTCCTCATTTCAGTTGAAGCAACACCGAAGTAGAGTAATTATGGTGGCCAAGCAACAGAGCATAAGGCTGCCCAGAAGCAGGGCCTGGATTTTATGCTAGTCCACGTAGGATATTTCTGGATCCTGCATTCTGCTATGTAAGGTAGTCCTTGACTTAATGACCTGTTCTTTAATGGCAAAAAATGCCCATTTGAAAGAGTGGATTTGGACTTACGGCCGTGAGATTCACTTAACAACTGCAATTACAAATGGTTGAAAAAGTTGGGCCTAGTGATGTGGTGCCTTGACTTATGACCGCAGTGACTTACGACTGGCATTCTGGTCCCAACTGTGTGGTCGTAAGCTGAGGACTACCTGTTTTCGGCAATGGGGACCTCGCTCATCTCGCCATTCCTTGATCCCCAAAACAGCCTCTGCTGCTCCTCCACATTAACTCCATCTTTGGCATAGTCTAAGATTACCGGATCTGTTCTCTATCCAGCCGTGCAGACAAAATCCAGGCCCAGGTTGAGACCAGACGCCAAGGCCTGTGTGCTTGAGAAGGACCCTCCCGTCAGCCCCACCTCTCCATAAATGAGTTTGCCACCTGTTCCATTCTGGTGGATAAAAGCCACCATCCTGATGCATAACTCCAGGAACGATTATTCTGTGAAGGCTTAACCTTCTGTAACCCAAACCTTCAAAGCATGGTGATTCTCTGCTGTCTTGCAACCTCGATGGCCAACAGCTTGAACGTGACACGCCAAGAGGTTCTTGGCAACAATATGGATGTCAACAAGAGAATTAACTGTGCTTTAACTTTTCGCTGTCTGTCAATCTGAAAAGGTGTGGAGGGGTTGTGGAGAACGGTTGAGTGAAGGGGGGCAGTTTTCTCTTCCAAAGAACAGCTGTGTCTCTTGCCAGGTTCTTCTTGAAGATCTGAGTCAAGGTCATTCAGAAGACCAGCAAGGTGATCCATATGAGTAGACTTCAGTGGGACCAATTAGAATCGTCACATGTCTTACTTAAATATAAACCAGATGATTTCCAACCCATAACTAATTATCTTCGCCTGGAATTAATTCATTTTGTATAATTCGGAAGTGCATCCGTTGATCTAAGAAAATCGTCCCCAATTTATAGTCCGCCAGATGTGATGGTCCTGCTGACCAGGTGGAGGATGGTCTCGGTCATCCAAGACATCTGAAGGACAGCAGATACTGGGGGAGACTCTTGATCCTTGGGAGGGCATGAAATGGGTAGATTGGCATATAATGAGCCCATCCCAGCAACAGGGAAATCAGGCTGCAAAATTGTACTTTTAATCTCTGTGGTTTCTTACCCAGTGGGCCAAGATTTGAGCAAGCCAGCTTGATTGGAATTTTATCTGAACGGTATCGTAGCGATTTAGCTTTTATGAGATCAACGCAATTGTAGGTTGCCGTCTTTAGATCTGTTGTGGTTTCTCTTCCCTGCACCGTGTTGGCCAAAGTGAGACCTCTTGAGTCCAGTCCTTCTAGATTTGGAAACGCTAAATCTGACATTGTGCATTTTTAAGCCCCCTCTCAAATGGCCCATTTTAATAACCTGAAAGCTATTATATAACAAGCAGCCATGAATTAGTACAAGGCCCTGGGGGAAGCCGCACCGTTCAGCAATGAATAGTTAATGTGGTAGAATGTTGAGCAGGTTATTAGTTTTCAATGTACAAATGCTGATCAGGGAATGCTCTTTATAAGGTATTTAAAAGAAAATATAATTAACTGGTGGCGTGCTTCTGTTGCAGCTCAAATTGAAATTATTCCATGCAAGATCTGCGGAGACAAATCTTCAGGAATCCATTATGGTGTGATTACCTGTGAGGGTTGCAAGGTAAGCTTTATATTATACAGAGAGATTGAGAGAGAAAGAGAAAGAAAGAGAGACATACATATACACACAGAGAGAAACACACTTATTGTTGGGGTGTGTGTGTGCGTGTTTATGTGAGAGAGAGGAAATTATTGTATCTGTTTATCCACTGACTTATTTGTCTTTCTGCAAGATGAAATACTGAATCCGGTTAGCAATATTACATACAATCAATAATCTGCCCTGGGCGGATTTTAAAACTTCCAGTTGCAATTTCTCTCCTGAAGCTTTCCGGCATTCCTGGTGGGGTGCATTTACTTTTCATCCTGCCCTTGAAATGAAAAAGGGCATCCCTTATATATTTGAGCGGCTGTTGTCTAAATTCAGGGAGCGAATTGGGCACTTAATTTCAACAATTGAAGCGTTGAGGGACTGCCCTACTGCTTTGTGCTTTCACAGAGGTGCAGTGGTTTGCAGCAACAAAGCAGAAGGGGCTTTAGGGCAGAGTTGTCCAAATTTGGCAACTTTAACACATGTGGATTTCAACTCCCAAGCGTGGCCGGCTGGGGAATTCTGAGCGTTGAGGTCCACAAGTCTTAAAGTGGCCAAGGCTGGACATGCTTTAGGCTGCCTTGACGCTGGCTTATCCTGCAGCTGGAGGTTCCTTTGGATTCTTCTTCCATTTCTAATGTTCTGAGCAGGATCGGCGTCTGTCCTGAGTGTCCGGGAAAACATGAATTTTCTTTCTTGAAAGGGACATTCCTAGAAAGAAAAGTCGCTTTTGAGAAAGACTGTGGCTCCGTTGCTTTCTATAGTTTGGGCTGGTGAGGCTTTGCCAGGTGGAAATGCTGCTGGGAAAGTCTTTCTTATTCTCTCTGATGCTTTCCCGAGAGATCGCTGCGTCGCCTCTTGTCTACCCAAGGCGAAGGTCACTGCAGCACCAACAACACCCTGCCCTTGAAGAGCTGTGCTGGCCACACACCTTCTCACACCGCAGCCAGAGGTGGCCTCTGAGGGCACCTGTGTGTTTGCCAGGAAGTCCAAGTGGTCCTGAACTGACCGTTCAAAGTTACGACAGCACTGAAAAAGGTGGCATGTGGCTACTTCTCGCACTAATGACCACTGCAGCATCCCCACATGGTCACCTGATTAAAATTCAAGTGCTTGGCAACTGTCTCATATTTATGACGGTTGCAGTGCCCTCTGTCACGTGATCCTCTTTTGCAACCTTCTGACAAGCCAAGTCAATGGGAAAGTCAGATTCATTTAAGGACCATATGACTCACTTAACAACTTAATAGCTTTTGGCAAGAAAGATCATAAAATGGGGCAAAAACAACTGTCTCACTTAGCAACAGAAATTTTGGAGTCCATTGTGGTCATAAGCCGAGGACTCCCTGTATTTTTATTTTGATCGGATGGAGTGAACAGGAAGCAAAATTGAACAATGTTTGTTCTGAGAATCTTCTGCTTTCGCTTTGGAGGAATTTTTACATTCGAGTTGGATTGTCCTTCAAATACCTTGTGGAGAAATGGGTGGCAAGCAAATTTAATAAATAAAATAAGCAGACAAATTTGGTAAATAAAACAGGATGTTTTAAATAAATGGTCATTTCTCGGATCCAGAATTGTCTTCCATGAGCCAGGAGCCTTGGCCACCCTAACGGTACAGGACTTCTTAGCACAAGCTAGTCAATATCCTAGAGAGTGATTAAACAATATCCTAATTTTCGGGGCAGAAGATGAATTTTCAGGCTAGAAGGTAGACAAATCCTTTGCCAAGTGATCCCAAAGTTCTGTAAGCGGAATAGAGGTTTTTTTAAAGAATGTTTGTTTTAAAAATTCGGAATTAGGGGTAGAAAATCCGTAGAGTAAGGGAAAAACAACTCTCTGGTTCCTAATTGGCAATTATTGGAATATTGTGAAAGGTAATGATACATGGAAATCTGTAACTGTTAGCTATAAATCATGAGATTATGAATAAGTCTTTGTTGTCACAGGCTGGTGTGTATCCCTTTCAGAAGGCTGCCATTAGAAGGCACCAAGGCAGCTGTCAGCTGTTTTCTTGTAATTAAACAGCCAATGAGCAGCTAATTAAGACATATGTGTATACAGAAGTGGAAGTGGGCATGTTAATGAACTGTAGGAATCAATTCATTAAATGAAAATTGTCAAAAGACCAAACACGAGCTTTGTGGCTCACAGAAAAGGGAAGCCCAGAAACACACACACACACACACACACACCGGCCCAAAGTGCCCAAAATGGGCCTTTACTTTCTTGGGAGAGGAAGTGAAGCTGTTTCCTCTTTGCAGACCAACTCTTTGGCCTCCTCAGTGGTCCCCAGCAAATGATTTAGACCAGGGATCTGCAACCTTGACAACTTTAAGTCTTGTGGACTTCAGTTCCCAGAATTCCTCAGCCGGCAAGATCATAACGCTCTTAGGACCTGCCCTAAGAATCGACTGTACAGGTGGTCCTCAACCTACGACCACAATTGAGCCAAAATTTTACGTTGCTAAGGGAGACAGTTGTTAAGTGAGCTTTGCCGCATTTTACCACCTTTCTTGCCCCACTTGTTAAGCGAATCACTGCAGTTTAGTCACACGGTGGTTAAGTGAAACCGGCTTCCCCCCATTGGCTTCGCTCGTCAGAAGGTCACAAAAGGGGGTCCCGTGGCCCCAAGATATTGCAACCGTCATAAATACGAGCCAGATGCCAAGTGTCTGAATTCTGAACACATGATGCTGCAACGGTTGTAAGTGTGACAAACGGTCATAAGTCGCTTTTTGCAGTGACGTTGCAACTTCAGGTGGTCACTAAATGGATGGTGGTAAGAGGAGGACCACTTATACAGCACACCTTCTGTTCTCACCTGTGTCTTCTTGGACTCCTTCGCAGGGTTTCTTCAGGAGAAGTCAGCAAAGCAACGCCACGTATTCCTGCCCTCGTCAGAAAAACTGCTTAATCGATCGGACCAGTAGGAACCGCTGCCAGCACTGCCGGTTGCAGAAATGCCTCGCTGTGGGGATGTCTCGAGACGGTGAGCTCCCCCAGCCCCAGTCGGCTCTCTTGTGGGTCAGAGAGAGAGAGAGAGACAGACAGACAGACAGAGACCCTCCTTGGCTTTTGCCAGCTTCTCCACTACCTTGAAACAATTCATTTTGAAATCCCCTCTGCTTAACAGCCTTGGGGTTTTTGGTTCCCTGCATCCACGCTACATATAATTATCCAAATGTTATCATGTCATTCGACACTACAACACTTGCATTTAAGCCACCAATGTGTGGCTTCTCAAAAAGACGTTTCCTCACATTGAAAAGTGTAACTTCAAATTTCCTTCCTTCCTTCCTTTCCTTCTTTCTTTTCAGATGTATTCTGAAATCTGAGTGTTCAGACAAGTCTGAATCCCAACAGGGTTTTAAATGTTTGTCTTTAAATGACATCAGAGATGCAGATTCCTGTGATTCAGAGAAAAAAAATCTACTTTTTTGCATCAGAGAACCCTACATTTAGGCACTTCTGCAAGTTAAACACCTTTGTACTTTTTTTTTTTATCTAGCTGAAATTTAGGCCTGACAGTGGTGTTCTTTTTCATATGAGATGGCCCTTTTGATTTTTGCCCACATATGAATCATCCCTTCAGATTCTTCCACGTCAGGCTTCTCAATCTGGGCTACTTAAAGATGGGTGGACTTCCCTGTGGCTGACCGCGTCATCCTGTGGATGTGGCCTTTGAACGTAGCCGTCTCCCAAGAGCTGGCCTGGCGGTAAGGGAAGGTGACCAAAGCTGTTGCTTTTGACTCTCTTCCAGCCGTCAAGTTTGGTCGCATGTCCAAAAAACAGAGGGACAGCTTGTACGCAGAGGTCCAGAAGCATCGGATGCAGCAGCAGCAGCAGCGAGACCACCAACAGCCCCCTGGAGAAGCGGAGCCGCTGACCCCGAGCTACAGCATCACGGCTAATGGCCTGACGGACCTGCACGATGACCTCAGTAATTACATAGATGGTCACCCTCCTGAAGGTAGCAAAGCCGACTCTGCGGTTAGCAGCTTCTACTTAGACATACAGCCTTCTCCAGACCAGTCGGGGCTTGATATTAATGGCATCAAACCAGAACCAATCTGTGACTACACACCCACGACGGGCTTCTTTCCATATTGCTCCTTTACCAATGGGGAGACCTCTCCTACTGTGTCCATGGCAGAATTAGGTAATGATACAGAGGGGGGAAACCTGTCCCGTAGTTGCTCTCTTAATTGCCTTTGGATGGAAAGCGACACCCCACCCTCCCAAGAGGGTCTCCGGGCCTAGAATCCTGTCCTTTCCTCTAGATACAGCTTGGCTCAGGAAGAGTGCTTGGGCTTTGTGGGTTGATAGATTGGCTATCGATTGGCGCTGATGAGGTTCCCCAGTTTGGGTCATGAAACATCTGCAAGAAAGCCACCAAGCTCAAAGAGCACCAAGGACCCCTCAGCTTGGCTATTTTAGCTTTGTTGGTCTTCCAGGCTGTCTCAAAGAAGGGGAGGTTGTGTGAGTGTTGGGTTAGAGCCATATCGGATGTTTTCTGGAAGGGAGCTGATTGTCTAACTCTCCCCATGCAGTAATGATGACCCAACAGGCAGGTTTTTGGGTGAAGATGGCCAATGGACTTAGTGCAACCTTAGCAGATACCAGCTTCATCCAAGACCTGATGTACAATGCAGAAAATCCAAATATATCCCTCATCAAAATGGGATCTAAGCTTACAGTATTGCGTTCTTGCATGTCTCACATTCATTTCCACAGAGAAACGCTTTAGTTAGTGATTAAGGCAGCTATTTCTGGGACTCCCCTATTTAATGGCTTATGAAATTGAGCCGCTTCATCTGACTTTATTTGGGGGCTGCCGGACCTGTGATTAAAAAATGTGCTTGTGAAACCTGCACAGCCTGGTGTGCAGACAGCCCATTTACACAAAGAAGTCAGATGTGGGTCTGTCTGCCAAATCACGGCCAAGAGGAGTATTTTTGGTGGTGAAAATTATTTACAATTTTGTCCTACGTGAAATCTGTTTGAAGAGCAATTGTGTACAACAATGAAAGATAGTCCTTGAATTACAACCATTTGGTTAGCAATTGTTCTAAATTGGAGTGGCCCTGAAAAAGTGACTTGCAATCAATCCTCACAGTTACGACCATCACGGCATCCCCGTGGTCAAGTGATCAAACTTTGGGCATTATTGTATTTATGACGGTTGCAGCGGCCCAGGGTCCCGTGATCCCCACTCGCAACCTTCCTACCTGGCTTCCGACAAGCTAAGTCAATGCGGGAAGCTGGGTTTGTTTAAGGACTGCATGGTTCACTTAAGAACTGCAGTGATTCCCTGAACAATTATGGCAAAAAGGTTGTAAAACTGGATGGGATTCATTTCCATTGTTTAACAATGGAAATTCTGATCCCGGTTGAGATTGTAAGTCAAGGGCTCCTGTTGAGCAAAGGCTTCCCAGCCTGGGCCAAACTCTTCTGTCCTTGGACGGATGTAGCAATAGCAGCCTCTCTCTTGCAGGTAATATGGGATAATAATTGGGGGAAATCGCCCCCGTATAAAAAAGTGAATGTGTTGTCTGCAGCCTTTTCTTGACTAGCTCCTTAGGTCATTTCTTCAAAAAGGCCTGGATGCTTTGAATGGCATTCAAATACAGTGCAGCAGCATTTAGATGCTACAGTTTCCTCCCCTGCCCGTCCCGTAGCCCTCTCTCCTCTTCAAGCGATCAGAAACGGTGTCATTCAGACAGACGCCAGGCGACCTGAGCCAGCCAGCCAGCCAGCCAGCCATCAGCCGAGTTCATATCTTAAACGTCTGGAAAACGGCAGCTTGGCCAGAATTGCTTGGATCTAGGGCCAGTCACCCATCGCTCACAGCCACTGTCAGGACCTGAAGCCGGTGGGGGGGGGAGGATGCAGACAGGCGCTGAGAAGCCTCCTTTCAGCCCTGTGCAGATTTGCTGCTAATGAGAACTGGCGACTTAGGAGATGCGAGTTAGGAACCTGTGTGGCCTCTTGGCTAATGCCTGGGAACTTTTGCTTTTCCAGAACACCTGGCACAGAACATTTCTAAGTCACACATGGAAACCTGCCAGTACTTGAGGGAAGAGCTGGAACAGATCACCTGGCAAACGTTTCTGCAGGAAGAAATTGAGAACTATCAGAGCAAGGTATTTTTTTCTGGCCAATGGGGTTGTTTCTTTTAAAGATCGATTGTAGAGATGAAACCCCCCCCCCCTTTCCCTGGGTTCCAAGGGCTTTGCAGTATAGGTTTTAAATTTTAAAAATATCAAGGTATTGTAATTAAACTTGCAAATTGAATAACAAAAAGGTGACCTGGTGACCAGAACATCTCAAACAAGCAGTAGGGCTGTTCGAGTCCAGACCGATACTCTGATTTCCTTAAAAATCGAATGCATTTTAATCGTTCGGAGTCTTTCCTGGGAAGAGTTCAGCCTTAAGTCTTCTTTCTCTTCCCCAGCAAAGAGAGATCATGTGGCAGTTGTGTGCGGTGAAGATAACGGAAGCAATACAGTATGTCGTAGAGTTTGCCAAACGCATCGACGGCTTTATGGAACTATGCCAAAACGATCAAATTGTGCTTTTAAAAGCAGGTTTGTGCCTTTTGTGAAATGTGTCTGCTTGTCTGAAGCATTGTGCAGTGTGGGTTGCAATGGGAATCCAATCTTCTCAACAGCTAAAAGTACAAACTTTCCACTCAATTATTGTCAATCACAGGTTACTCCGTTGCTCCGGGAGGACTAGTAATTGCTGCTGGGAAAAAATAAACCACAGTTAAATTTTTAAAAAATGGCAGGAACAAGCCCTTTACGATGAATAAAACATGAAAAGTAGAAACTCCATTTGTTATCGGAGAGCAGGTTGTTCCTAAACTCAACCAAGACCACCTGCAATCTATTGAAAACCTTGTTCATCATATCATTTATTGCATGGAGGATGTGACCTTAGCCTTTGAGGAGGCCAGGTGTTCCTTCCTGGTGGTAAAGAAGAACCCAGACAAGGAAATTATGTGACAGAGTAAGGCAAATGCTGAAATCCACATTTGTTTCAGTTAATCCTAGAATCGCTACCGTAAAGTATGATGATTATTTGTGACATGTTGCTAACAGATTCTCAGAGGAACCCAAAAAACTGATAGTCTAAAGCAGGGGTCTCCAACCCCTGGTCCGTGGATCAGTACTGGGCCTCAGCATGCCAGCAACTGGTCTGCACAAACAAGCAAAGCCCCATTCGTGGGATGCAGGCAGCATGCAAAACCACGCCCCCTCCGGTCCACGGAAAAACCTCTCTCCGTGGAACCGGTCCCTGGTGCCCAAAAGGTTAGGGACCTCTGGTCTAAAGCAGTGTTCCTCAACCTTGGCAACTGGAAGACAGGTGGACTTCAACTCCCAGAATTCAACTTGAAGACGGGTGGATTTCCCCATTCTGACTGGGGAATTCTGGCAGTTGAAATCCACCCATCCTCAAGTTGCAAAGGTGGAGAAACACTAGTCTAGAAGGATCCTTTAACAGTAAGTGGAGAAAACACTTCCCCCCCATTAGTTTTATATATACTAAATAGATGAAATTGATTTAATAAATAACATATACAATCAAAAATGAAGTTACAGACCATAACAAGACACTCCTGGTGAACAAGGCACACTTTTAAAAGCAACCTGAAACCTCTTATTTCTTAATATTGCCATTGAAAAATCTTTTCCTATTTCATTAGGGTCTTTAGAGGTTGTATTTATCAGAATGTGTCGTGCCTTTGACTCTCAAAACAACACAGTATACTTCGATGGCAAATACGCTGGCCCAGATGTATTCAAATCATTAGGTAAGGCAATAAATGCTTCATTAGAATGTATTAATATTCTAAATGTGCTGCTTTTTGAAAACTATTTTTTATCATAAACAAATATATTTTATAGAAATAACTCAAAAAAATAATCATAAATACCTAGGGGCACAATTTAATTCCAGTGTTCTTTAACCTTATATGAGACTTAAGTATTATACAATGATACCCTGATGTTTAAATTGAAAAATTAAGGGTTTAAGCTAGAAAAATATACCAAGCAGAGTTTTAGTATACTAAGTACAGAAGTAGAAGCTGAAAGCACTTTTTATCTTCTGTTGCATTCTTTGGAAGAGACCCTGTTTGGTTGTTTTGTTTTGCAGGCTGTGAAGATTTCATTAGTTTTGTTTTTGAATTTGGAAAGAGTTTATGTTCTATGCACCTTACTGAAGACGAGATTGCATTATTCTCAGCTTTCGTTTTACTATCTGCAGGTAAGGTATCAATCCGAGGAAGTAATTTTGCTTTTTCAAATTCACCTTGAATATTTTCTGCTCCTGAGCCAAAATGTTTTGCTTTTCCTTCAGAGCAATATATTTAGTTCACTTCCAATAGTCTGCAGGTTTTGTTACTGAAAACCTGACGTCATCACTTAGCTTGGTAATCCTGAAAGTCAAGTAGATGTTTTAGGAGAGGAATAACGTGGCATAGATGTGCTTTTGGTTATCTCCTGAAGAGACCCAGCAGCTCTCTTCTCACACTGGTTGGACTTTAAAGCCTTCTGACTGACCCCCAAACTTCAGGGAAAATGTGAACCATTTCTTGAAAGAAACAAGAACAGGATGGAGAACCATCAAATGTTCTTCAACCTCTCTTGCTTTCTACCAAGGAATGGAAGATGGCAGGTCATCTGAGACTGGAGCGCTATCAGGAGAGTTGGCTTGCTCTGTTTATGGTAGTGGAGTTAACCGAAGACTTCAACCCAATGAATAAAATGTCTGCAAATTGTAATTGAAAAGAATCACCTGAATTGTCCCCCCTTCCACTTTTTTCCCCCTTTTAGATCGATCGTGGCTTCAGGAAAAGGTAAAAATAGAAAAGCTCCAGCAAAAAATTCAGTTTGCGCTTCAACATGTACTGCAGAAAAACCATCGAGAAGATGGAATATTAACAAAGGTAATTAATCTACCACAGGGGTAGTCAATCTTGGCTCTTTTATGACTCGTGGACTTCAACTCCCAGAATTCCTGAGCCAACTAAGCTGGCTCAGGAATTCTGGGAATTGAAGTCCACGAGTCATAAAAGAGCCAAGGTTGACTATCCCTGATCTACCACAATCTTTTGCACTTTAAAGTCTATTTAACTAACTAGACCAGCCGTACAACTTTCAACTGAATTAACATCCTCTTTTACGGAATATTTTGTGATGCTTGTTTAAAATGTGATGGAGGAAATTGCAGTGATTATCTAATAAACCTGAATAATAAAGGTGAACAAATTATGAGCAATTGCTTCAGAGAACATAGATAATGTATTTCTTTCTTCTCGAGTTGCTTTAGATGCTGAACTAGAGTTAGAGGCTTTGAATCTCAGGCTTAGCAATGGATCAGGTGTCAACTCTTTAGAAATTGGGCATCATTTATGCGGAAATTTTAATGTTAGGGAGATATTTCTTAAAATTGTATGAAGAATGATTCTTCCTCTTGGGAGGAATCCAACTTTCTTTATATCCTTTTTGACATTGCTACCAGAAGAAGAGATCCCCATGGATAAGGCCACTATTGCTAGATGAGCATTATGGGTCCCCTGCTCACCTATAGCCCATAATGCTTCTGAAAGATAACATTTGATTAGAGGGGAAGGACCACTCCTCTTTGTCCCTCAGCTTTTCTAACCCCTGTTGCTTTGCAGGCCCTAACAATGGAAATAGGGAACAAGTTGAATAAATGAAAGATGAGCAGCCAGTTAAAGGGGTTGTATCTTAGAGCACTTACAACTTTTAAATATTTTAGTCATTTAAAACATTGGCAAAGCAGCCCATCTTAACACCAAATTCTGGGCAGCTTACAAGGAAGCAGTCTTCTCAGCCAGAACAGCAGCAAATTATAAAACCAAAAAGAGAAAGGCCTGGTGCCACCAACACAGCTGCTTGATGCAACCCATGAGGTTCTCCTTCCACCATGACCTCACCCCATCCTCCTCAGGGGGGCTTAAAAGCTTTTATGACTGCTCCCTTGAAGCCCCCCACCCACCCACCCACCCCGGAAAATAATGGCATCACTGATGGCATCTATTTTGCCTCTCCCCTCACNTAAACCACAGTTAAATTTTTAAAAAATGGCAGGAACAAGCCCTTTACGATGAATAAAACATGAAAAGTAGAAACTCCATTTGTTATCGGAGAGCAGGTTGTTCCTAAACTCAACCAAGACCACCTGCAATCTATTGAAAACCTTGTTCATCATATCATTTATTGCATGGAGGATGTGACCTTAGCCTTTGAGGAGGCCATGTGTTCCTTCCTGGTGGTAAAGAAGAACCCAGACAAGGAAATTATGTGACAGAGTAAGGCAAATGCTGAAATCCACATTTGTTTCAGTTAATCCTAGAATCGCTACCATAAAGTATGATGATTATTTGTGACATGTTGCTAACAGATTCTCAGAGGAACCCAAAAAACTGATAGTCTAAAGCAGGGGTCCCCAACCCCTGGTCCGTGGATCGGTACTGGGCCTCAGCATGCCAGCAACCGGTCTGCTCAAACAAGCAAAGCCCCATTCATGGGATGCAGGCAGCATGCAAAACCACGCCCCCTCTGGTCCACGGAAAAACCTCTCTCTGTGGAACCGGTCCCTGGTGCCCAAAAGGTTGGGGACCTCTGGTCTAAAGCAGTGTTCCTCAACCTTGGCAACTGGAAGACAGGTGGACTTCAACTCCCAGAATTCAACTTGAAGACGGGTGGATTTCCCCATTCTGACTGGGGAATTCTGGCAGTTGAAATCCACCCATCCTCAAGTTGCAAAGGTGGAGAAACGCTAGTCTAGAAGGATCCTTTAACAGTAAGTGGAGAAAACACTTTTCCCCCATTAGTTTTATATGTACTAAATAGATGAAATTGATTTAATAAATAACATATACAATCAAAAATGAAGTTACAGACCATAACAAGGCACTCCTGGTGAACAAGGCACACTTTTAAAAGCAACCTGAAACCTCTTATTTCTTAATATTGCCATTGAAAAATCTTTTCCTATTTCATTAGGGTCTTTAGAGGTTGTATTTATCAGAATGTGTCGTGCCTTTGACTCTCAAAACAACACAGTATACTTCGATGGCAAATACGCTGGCCCAGATGTATTCAAATCATTAGGTAAGGCAATAAATGCTTCATTAGAATGTATTAATATTCTAAATGTGCTGCATTTTGAAAACTATTTTTTATCATAAACAAATATATTTTATAGAAATAACTCAAAAAAATAATCATAAATACCCAGGGGCACAATTTAATTCCAGTGTTCTTTAACCTTATATGAGACTTAAGTATTATACAATGATACCCTGATGTTTAAATTGAAAAATTAAGGGTTTAAGCTAGAAAAATATACCAAGCAGAGTTTTAGTATACTAAGTACAAAAGTAGAAGCTGAAAGCACTTTTTATCTTCTTTTGCATTCTTTGGAAGAGACCCTGTTTGGTTGTTTTATTTTGCAGGCTGTGAAGATTTCATTAGTTTTGTTTTTGAATTTGGAAAGAGTTTATGTTCTATGCACCTTACTGAAGACGAGATTGCATTATTCTCAGCTTTCGTTTTACTATCTGCAGGTAAGGTATCAATCCGAGGAAGTAATTTTGCTTTTTCAAATTCACCTTGAATATTTTCTGCTCCTGAGCCAAAATGTTTTGCTTTTCCTTCAGAGCAATATATTTAGTTCACTTCCAATAGTCTGCAGGTTTTGTTACTGAAAACCTGACGTCATCACTTAGCTTGGTAATCCTGAAAGTCAAGTAGATATTTTAGGAGAGGAATAACGTGGCATAGATGTGCTTTTGGTTATCTCCTGAAGAGACCCAGCAGCTCTCTTCTCACACTGGTTGGACTTTAAAGCCTTCTGACTGACCCCCAAACTTCAGGGAAAATGTGAACCATTTCTTGAGAGAAACAAGAACAGGATGGAGAACCATCAAATGTTCTTCAACCTCTCTTGCTTTCTACCAAGGAATGGAAGATGGCAGGTCATCTGAGACTGGAGCGCTATCAGGAGAGTTGGATTGCTCTGTTTATGGTAGTGGAGTTAACCCAAGACTTCAACCCAATGAATAAAATGTCTGCAAATTGTAATTGAAAAGAATCACCTGAATTGCCCCCCCTTCCACTTTTTTCCCCCTTTTAGATCGATCGTGGCTTCAGGAAAAGGTAAAAATAGAAAAGCTCCAGCAAAAAATTCAGTTTGCGCTTCAACATGTACTGCAGAAAAACCATCGAGAAGATGGAATATTAACAAAGGTAATTAATCTACCACAGGGGTAGTCAACCTTGGCTCTTTTATGACTCGTGGACTTCAACTCCCAGAATTCCTGAGCCAACTAAGCTGGCTCAGGAATTCTGGGAATTGAAGTCCACGAGTCATAAAAGAGCCAAGGTTGACTATCCCTGATCTACCACAATCTTTTGCACTTTAAAGTCTATTTAACTAACTAGACCAGCCGTACAACTTTCAACTGAATTAACATCCTCTTTTACGGAATATTTTGTGATGCTTGTTTAAAATGTGATGGAGGAAATTGCAGTGATTATCTAATAAACCTGAATAATAAAGGTGAACAAATTATGAGCAATTGCTCCAGAGAACATAGATAATGTATTTCTTTCTTCTCAAGTTGCTTTAGATGCTGAACTAGAGTCAGAGGCTTTGAATCTCAGGCTTAGCAATGGATCAGGTGTCAACTCTTTAGAAATTGGGCATCATTTATGCGGAAATTTTCTAACCCCTGTTGCTTTGCAGGCCCTAACAATGGAAATAGGGAACAAGTTGAATAAATGAAAGATGAGCAGCCAGTTAAAGGGGTTGTATCTTACAGCACTTACAACTTTTAAATATTTTAGTCATTTAAAACATTGGCAAAGCAGCCCATCTTAACACCAAATTCTGGGCAGCTTACAAGGAAGCAGTCTTCTCAGCCAGAACAGCAGCAAATTATAAAACAAAAAGAGAAAGGCCTGGTGCCACCAACACAGCTGCTTGATGCAACCCATGAGGTTCTCCTTCCACCATGACCTCACCCCATCCTCCTCAGGGGGGCTTAAAAGCTTTTATGACTGCTCCCTTGAAGCCCCCCACCCACCCACCCACCCCGGAAAATAATGGCATCACTGATGGCATCTATTTTGCCTCTCCCCTCACAGCTAATATGCAAAGTGTCTACCTTAAGAGCCCTGTGTGGACGACATACAGAAAAGCTCATGGCGTTCAGAGCAATATACCCAGACATTGTACGACTTCATTTCCCTCCTTTGTACAAGGAGTTGTTCACTTCAGAATTTGAGCCGACGGTGCAGATGGAAGGGTAACGGGGTCTTCTCGAGCCTTCTAGAAGGGACAGACGTTCAAGCAGAAAGATAGCAAGAGAGAAAGAGATTAAACGAAACCAAGACACTTTCGTGGCCCTGCTTAAGACGTAGGGAGCCAGCACACTGCACATCTTCCGGGCAGAGGCGCCAGGCGAAGGAGGGGAAAAACGAAGCAAGGGCCGAACTTGCTCGTCTTCTTGGTCCAGTTGCTGCGATGCTCACCCAGAGGGACCCTTTTTTCCTGTCTGGACTTCTCAGTCTTCAGCCTCTGTTTACACAGAAGGAGGGTTTCCCTCTGTCCTTGTAACTCACTGCCCACAGAGACGCTCACCGAACAAGGTCCGAACCGAATCTCCAGCTTGACTCCGGTGACTGGTGTGCACCGCAGAGGCTCCGCATCATCAGTTTTGCACAACCTTGCTCATGGTTTCATGAAGGACGATGTCTTTTCACCGTACCGTGATTGCCGCCAGGCGGAATGGCATGAAAAGAGTCCATAGCAATAGCATTATAATCTATTACAGGGTAAATGGGCATGAAGTCAATATATAGCAAAAGAGATGATATTGTTTATATATTGTTTTAATTAATATAAAAATGTAGTTAACTGGTATAGCTTTTATTGTTGAATTGATAAGGCACTTTCATTTTGCACCTTTTTTTCTTTTTAAATTATATGCTGGCGTGTTCAATGTTTGTGCTGCATGTACACCAGAAATCCAAGTTTAAGGGAGGGCTGGAAGGGCGAGGAGGAGGAGGAGGACACTGCAAAAGGGGTTGTGCTGCTATTTACCACGTTTCCTTTGGCAGAGAGGCCGGCCCAGGTCATGAGATACCCTTCCGTGGTCTTGTGTAAGGGGGCAGGGAGGGGAGTCAAGTTTCTAAACTGTTCTCTGGTTCTTAAAACTATGATTTTATTGGAGAAGCAAGAAAAAAGAAAAAAAAATCCCTATTTTTAAACCAGATTGCTGACAATGGGGATTGAAAAGAAAAAAAAAAGAGCTATGTTTAATCACTTAACAAAATGTGTTGGTTTTCAGTAACATCTTTTTAAAATCAGCCCATTTCCTGGGATGAGTAAATATGGATTCCGACAACCAAATTTAGACACTTGTGTTTTGGAAATATTGGTCTTAATACTTTTGTTTACATTTTGTGTGTGTTTGTATATGTGTATGTGTGTGGAGAGAGAGAAACAGATTCAATGTACTAAGACAGATAGGGTACATACATTTTTTTCTTCTCATGGATAGTCTCCATGGGCTTAAATCTTGTATTCAGTGCATGGAAACCCAACTTTTTGCTGAAACGGCTGGAGGCTTGTTAAAAAACCTGCTCTTACATGTGGCTAATTCCTTTGTAAACCAAGAAGTGCTACTTGCACCCATGCTTCCCAATTCGTTCCAAACAGAAGCTCCCACGGAGGGGGGCGGGGAGCTTGGATCACACAGTTGCCACCGCCATCTTGGTATCTCGGTCAGTCCGCTATTTTGAAATCCAAAACAATCTGAATTCATGCTCTGCTTACCACGTGCTACACTTTAGCCACCTACACCTAGAATCAGGAGCAAGAAGCTCTATATTAAGAATTATTTATATCCTGGCCAATGAAATCCACCTGAGCAATCCTATTCAAATGCAAAATCTGATCTAAAAGGCGGTGATACAAGTTGGACTCCAGTTCTCCTTTTGACATTCCATTTGCTCCTTGGGCCACTTCAAAATCTTGGAGAGGGTCCCCTCAAACTGACCAGAAGTTCCAGTTGGAATCCTGGTCTTCACGGCTGTGTTTAGAGCCAGTGACCAAGGCTGCAATCCTGTGTCCTTTGATATATTGGGAAGCCCCACTGAACTCAATGGGGTCTCCATCCACACAGACGTACACGAGGCTCTTTGGTTGAGTTCTTGAATCACCTGTATTTAAAGAAACCAACTGCACAATCTTTAATTCTCGCCTATTTCTCTTTCCTGCCTCTTGAAATACAGTCTGTATTATCAGTGAATCTTAACTCACATTTATTAGAGTAGCTTAGATATTTTTAATTTGTTGACTACTAATCATTCTGAGGGCCATTTTGAATTCTGATTCCAGTTATCTTTTTGGTGGTAAAAATGCCATCAAGAATGAAAGTGATTGAGACCTTTATTCACGGATAGTGGTAATGTCAGCCAGACTTGCAAGCTACTCTTCTTTAAAAAAAATAGATTAAAAGTATAGCAAGCTTCAGCATCCCAATGATCTGAATATAAAGCCTTTGTAGGGATGTGTCTCCTCATCTCAAGCTCTTTATCCTTGACCTAGAGATGACTTTACTAGGCAGCTAAAATGTTTGAGAAGAATATTTTCATTCTTTGCTTTATCAAGCCTTCTGTAGGATCATGTATGTCCACAAATCATAATAGAGTTTGTTCATGTCCTGTCATGTCTATGAAAGAAAAAAGTTGAGTTTTCCCAGCATGAGGACTTTTTCCAGAGAGTTAAGTCTTCAAATAATGTGTCCAAAATAGGATAATTTGAGGTTAGTCTTTTGAGCCATGAGTGAGAATTCTAGGTTGACTTGTAGGATGATCCATTTTTTTAAAAAAAAATCTTAGCTGTCCATGCTCTTCTTAGGAGCCTTCTCCAGCTCCTAAGTTCAAAAGGATCAATCTTCCTCCTTCCCTGTTTCTTCAAAGTCCAACTTTGACTTCCCTAGAGAATCACAGGGAATTAATTCCCTGGCTTGCTCTGTTCTGATCATTTCCTTTTAGTTAATAGCAAATTATATTTTGATAACGATAAAATGATGCTGATAATCCTCTTATGAAAGATGCCACAAGTAATCAGCAATATGTACTTTGAATGTCAGAGGGGAAACCTATTGGCAAAAACATAAACTCCAGAAATAAGTTTTAACATCCAAAGTTGGCTAGCCTAATATACTTGTTGGATAACAAACTCCAGGTAGGATTCAGCTATATAAAGTGTAGCATTCTCCGTGGTGGGGTATATCAAAACTTCACAATATACCTGCAGGTGAACTCCAGAAAACTGGAAGTTAAAATTAATTTGGGTTTCCATTCTCCTATCCTATTTTGGTGGACCTATTGCACTATTTTAAAAGAAGGCATGTAGTCCTGGGCCTTGAAGGCACAATTCTGTCTCAGTCGTGTTTATATTGTTTAGAATTATGAACTGACATGCTATGTGACATTCTTTTAAATTTGGTTGTCTTTTTAGGGAGCTTTTCATTGTCATGAGGTTATCAAGGTCTGAGTGTGTGTACCCTTTACGTGTGGAATATGTGCGTGTGTGGTTGTTGTTAGGCCATTAAGTGTCCATGGAATAAAGAAAAATGTGTTGAAGATATGTAAGTCAAAAATAGAAGGTGGAAAAAATATTCTATATAAAGCCTTGTCTGGACCACTTAGAGAGACTTCTATTTTTTTAACCCTTCTATAAATATTTGGTGGCACTTGAACTATTCCTGCAATAAAATGTGATTTGTGTAAAGGTAGAAACAAACAAAAAAGATTTTGTAATGTGAAAAAAATGAAAGAAAGCAATGTAATTTTTCTAAAAAAGAAAAACAAAAAACAAATCAACTTTGTATTATTTTTGTGGATGGAATTTGTCTACTTGTCTTTGGAAAAAAGCATTTGATTTCATTGAATGTGCCATAGCAGAGGCGCGTGGGTGGTGGGTTTTTTTCGTTATGTCGTAGGTGAAAGGAAGTGATTTTGTGTTTCCGACATTCCGTAAAGCGTGAGGCCATCGCAAAATAATTCTTTTTAAAAATGTATTCGCAAGCTTCGGTCTTTGTTGCTTTTTTTGCACACGTGTTTCATTTCTCTCTAGTGCAATATGGGCGTAGAGCACTTGCGGGTTTTACTCAGGGAAAATTACATATTTGTTATACAGGGTTTTACGTTGTCGTTTTTTGTGGTTGTTTGGGGTGGGGTGGGGGTCGAGGGGTGTTTTTTCTTTTGCTAAGGAATGTCGATTGAATCACCTGTTGTCAAAGAGGCAGCCAGATAATAATCCTAACGCCACTGCCAAAGCCCCGAATCCTCTCTCGTTCCGGCCCTTGCCACTGACCACCACTTCCCCTGACCGCTCTTTGTGCGAATTGGAAAAAGAGAAAAAAAAAGGGTATATAAGCACCTTATGATTGACTTAACTGTGAATGACAATCCATCTTGTGATCGGTAATAGATGCCCAAGAAGTTAGCAGTTTTGGTTAAAGCTCAGGGACCTTTCAAACTCTTCAACAGGGAGACCAGAGTTATGGGTCAAAACGCTTTTGAGAAACGTCGGGCTCTTCTTATATTGAGCAGCTAATCGGGACAGAGCTACGTTTGTCCCTGTGGAATCTCTGGATTCTCAACTTTCGGCTACTTAACCCTGTTAAAGATCCATACTAAACCAACAGTAGAGGCTTTACAGCAAGGGTGTCCAACTTTGACCCCTTTAAGACTTGTGGACTTCAATTCCCAGAGTTCCCATTCATGGCTGGCTGGGGAATTCTGGGAGTTGAAGTCCATAAGTCCTTCCAAGGTTGGACACCCCTGGCTTACAGTATAAGTTAACACTGACCCATAATGCATGTCAAACAACCACTCTTTTATCTTTTTTAACAACAACAACAACAAATATCATTGAATCCTGAATATTTCTAGATACTATTTTGTGCTTTTCCAAATGAAGAAACTTTGAGGGAATGTGGCAAGATTTTCCAAGGCTACTTTTACCCTACATTAAAAATATATATATACAAGGGATGAGTGAAGGAGGATTGGAGAGATCACCAGTCCAGATAGATTTCCTTAGGTGCCAAATATAATTTCATCTGTAACCTTATGCAAAATCAAAATCTCGTGCAACTTGGTTTAGATTTTTAATTAATTTATTTATTGTTCCAGGTTTGCCATTCGGTGCAACCTGCAGCATTAAACATAAAGGAAAAAAGCAGTGTTTATTATATTGAAGTTATTAATTAAACTGTCTGCTGGGAGGAGGCCAAAATGATTAAATGTTGTAGCTGCCATGATTGATTTTTAATTCCTTCCCCGCAGAAACCTCTGATTTATTTATTTAAACAGATTATTACAACCTTTAAAAAACTATTTCAAACTCCTCAATGATCCATGAGCAGTATTTCTCAACCTCAGCAACATTAAAAAAGGTAGACTTCAATTCCCAGATATCCCAAGCATGGGGAATTCTGGGAGTTGGAGTCCACACCTCTGAAAGTTGCTGAAGTCGAGAAGCACTGCATTTAGAGGAATGTGCTGCTCAATAGTGAGGTGAGAGGTTTTCATTTAATTAAAAAGGCTGCCCAAATTATTTTAAACAGCCCATAGTAACGGTCCTCTAAGTAATTCCAGAATTGACATTAATTGTCTTGCCACTCGTCCAGTGCCAATTGTGTGCCAAAACATTTGAAGGAGGGAGGCTGAAACAGAAATGAGGAGTTCCCTTGAGACATGGATTATTTGCCTTTTTTCCATGTTTCTTAACAGGAGGAGTTCTAAAGGGAAAGAATTAGGAATTTATTGAACAGGCCAAAGAAAAGCGAATCGCATCTCAAATACGTGACTGGATTCCTCTGACTCCGATCACACCCATCCTAGCAATTACATTTCCCCCCCCCCCACTGAATTGGTCAACGTGGCCAATTGTCACAGCTCAAAAGCATTAATTTACTGTGATGGTTGTGTTTGGATTCAGGTTCTCAGAGATCAGCCCTGACTGGGAGAGTCATCTTCCTCCCTTTTCTTTTCTGATTGATTCCTTAGCAAGTCACGAGATTTTGGAGCAAGAATTGATTTTGAGCAACTCAACAGTTTCCCATCGAGCAGACGTGTTGCATCTTGTCCAAAGGGGTTGGGGCATCTTAGAGCAAGGGTGGGCAACCATGACAACTTTAAGACCTGTGGACTCCAACTCCCAGGATTCCTGAGCCAGCATGGTTGCCCAACGCTCTCCTAGAGATTTTAATGCAATAAAATTAAATGAAGGAAGGAAAGCCAGACAATGTATCTGAAGTTGGATTGGTAGATCTTTCTCCCAGTTTGGGTTCTCCATAGTCATGTGAACCACCGTGAGGATTATTCCATGTCCTTGTACCAGGGTTAGCCTGCACCCTTTCCTAAGGATTGACTTCTTAAATCATCTATGCACAGATCTTGGGAGTGCACAGGGACACAGTTTTCATCCAAAGGCGCCAAGGATTAGAAGGGGTTTCTGTGATCCATGAAGATCAAAGAGAGGGCAAAGGGCAATGAATATGGAGATCAGAGGTCAGTTCTGCCAGAAAAATCTCCTGGAAACTTGGCAACGTAATGGGTTACTCAATCAATGAGGACACAGCTGCAGATCTCATA